CAAGGTTACCCCAAACGAAAACCAGCGTTTCCGCAGGAACCTCTGCATCGCTCCAGATGCTTCCCAGTTGCCTTGCTGTCCCTACAGAAGGGGTAGCAACCCGAACAAAACTCTCAACCAAAATGTCTAGCAGGCTTTATATGCCAAGGAACAGAAAAACACGGAACACTCAAGGTTTTCATCAAGCTCACGCTGCTGGTGGATCTAAGCCACAGCCCAAGGATGGAGATCAGTGCAACAGAGTATTTCCGCACGCAGACTTACTCTGAATTCGGCAACAATCTTGGACTTCAAAGCAGCTTTCGGGTTTGTGGATGCTGTTGGAATAAAGAAAAAGTATAAAGAAACCAAGGAACTCCACCCCAGTTAAAAGTCACAAAAGGCAGTTCTAATAAAAAAAATATTTTAACAGAATTCAACAAAAGACTCGAAGGCTGTTGTTACCCTTTACATTTTCCCCTCCACACAGAAGCCCCTCAGTGCTCTGGCTTCCTGTTAGCTAACTGGGACACAGTCACGCGCAGTTAGATTGTGACTGAGCTCAACAAATTACACTATCACTTTTTTTTTTTTTTAAACATGCTCTAAGAATTTACTGTGCAGACATATTCCAGCTCTACCGTTGAGAGGACAAGTCCCTGCAAGGGTTGATCTAACAGCCTGATCTGATGAGTTGAGACCTCTCTACAAGGAAGGTAATATTATCTCCTAAGTGCCGGATTTAGAGCCGACACACACAGCCCAGCGTTTCCTTCGACGGGGTCTCCCTTCAGTATTTACTAAGCCTAACCACCTTCTCAACCTTAAAAACTCTTACACCTCTATTCTGACAGCTTATTAACAGAGTGGGGGGAGCGAATCCCGCCACAGAGAGACACTAAATCCACTGGTTTCTGGACAAAACAGGAGAAACATCTGATAAGAAGCAAAATGCTAAACCCTTCACCCATGCTGAATAGAACACACTTTTGTTTGGGAAAGCAGCTTGTGATGTTAAGCCAAGTAATAAACGCTTCCAATGTATTCTGTTAACCTTCTGATCTCAGCACTTGGACAGGCAGGCGCACACCACACCTTACACCTAACGTTCCACCAGCTCACTTTACGGACCATTCAAGGTTTTAGCGTACAAAGCGATCAGTAAGATTGGGATATTATAAATGCGTGTCCTGCTAGACTGCACTCCCGGGAATGTCGGACGCCAAAGTTCATTATCTGCACTGCCAGCTTCCAGGTTTCTTTTCTCCTAGCACCTAGGTGGCTGTTGAAGCTGTGTTCCTGAGCACGAAGGTACTGTCCACCTCCTGCTGCCAAAGCACACGGTTCTGTCTGTCTTCTCTCCATCTCTGAATAGTCTAACTCCAGTTTCCAGGAGGTTCCACCAGCTCTTTCCTCTACTGTTCACAACCTCCACTCTCAAAGATTTTTTTATTTTTTTTTTTCTTTCTTACTTCATTCCTTTAAAAAGTGGTTCTCTAGCAACAACTCCTTGGTGCTTTACATATTAGTCTGTAAGGAGCTTTACAAGCCTGGAAGGTGCATGCGGGCTCATGTTTTAGTCCAGGTACTCTGCCCGGTTCGGGCTAGCCTTTCTTCTGTTCCTCAAGAGGACAATTTCTAGATTAGTTCAGAGAGTTCACATTGTTTCCTTACTTTGCGATTTCTTCCACAGCTTACTCGGTTGTTTGTTCAGAGTTTCTTTCAGCTGCTTCTGAGTTTTGAAAGTGGTACCTGGAAAACATTTCATTTTTTGCAGTCTGGCATTATGGGATTCCTTTAAGAATCTGGTTTTGGTGCCATACGGTTGCACGGCAAAAGAGTGAACAGAAATTTGTTTTAAAATACCTAGACCAACTTTCTTAGATGAGCTGCTGGATACCCAAGAGAACCTAAGTTTACTCAGGAATACAGCAACCTGTGGGATGGTCTTCCATTTTTAAATCAAGTTTCTGTTTGCCCTTACACTACGACAGTTCACAAATCACCACAGTAACGACCAGAGTAAAAAGGAAAAACACAAGACATCTAAAAATGAAACTATCCCGCTGAGCTCTTTAGGTAGGCTTTCAGAAAATCGGCATTCAACAGGCAAGTAATGCAAGTCGGGGAAACAGACACAATACCTTCGTTAAAAATATTTCCGATGACTTGTAGTTTTGAGTTACAAAAATCAGAGATGTCAGAACATTCGCATCAACTTCACTTCTCCACATGCAACGTCCAGCTAAAGCCTTTTCCCCTGCCAAAGCCTGAACTCGAGACACCGTGTTTCTCCTGCCGCAATGACACTGGCTCTCAGACCACACAGGAGGAGTTCCTGAAGCACCTTTAGCTCTTAACGATGTAACCAAGTAAACCAGACATGTACACTGATTGCTGAGTATTGGCTGGTTTCAGGTTTTAACCGTGTTTCCAGTTCACATCAGCCAGTTCAGCTTTTCAGCAGAGCTCTTTCCCAAGTACTTGAGGATGCTTCACCCTCCAGCCTCCTTCCTACACCACAAATATTATTAGTAAAAACAACTTACTGCTAAAACAGACTAGAAAGGAAGGAAGCCGCCTCTGTTCCTCACCCTGCGGTGGCAGCTGGAAGTTGGCTCACGCTCAGACGAAGAGCCAGAGACACAAGCCCTCTACCAGGCACCGTGCTCAGGACCTGCAGGACCACTTGACCTTCACGGTCTGTTTATTCTCAGCTGGAACAATTCCAGCTGATGTGAAAGGATAGAGGGCTGTCACTAGAAAGGTACAAAAATGTGAAGCGATTCATTTAGTGCTGCTCACATCCACCACCTCCCTGCTCTAAAGTCTGTGCTAGGTGCAAATGCAGAAAGAACAGATACACACAGTAAACTCAGGAATTCCAGACATTTTCTTTAACCTTGCCAAGCTCACGCATTAGTTTCTAAGGCAAGAAAAGCAAAGGCTAAGTGACTTACTCAGAGCTTCTTTTAGTGCCAAAATGGTTTCCTCGGGGTACACATTTCTGTCCTCCCATATTTTGAAAATTCTTTCAATAGATTTGGAAACGGATGGATCCCTGAAAAAGAAGAGCAGATTGGGTTTTCTCTTCCCCCATACTGTCATTTCTTCTGATTCGAGACTAGATAATTATGTAAATAATTATGGGTTTAAATCCAAACTTCAGAAGACCCTTCAGACCAGGAAGTGCTCGGTCCAGTTGATGACTTTAGTTCTACCGCAAGGGGTCCCAGTGAGAGCAAGGCAGCAAGCCACACGCTTGGAGTTCAGCATACACACACCCCCACATCGTAACAGATCAGGGCCCTTTGCTGGGTAAAATTAGAAGGTTTCAGGGCAGTAGGAACACCAGCTGGATTTCTCTGAAGCCTTTCTTCATGGGAAAAAAAACAACAAAAAACTGTTACTCTTCCAAGCAGCTTTCTGTATGGATGCTTTGGGAAAAAAGTGATTATTCGGGGGGCGGGAGAGAAGAAATAAAACCTTAGTCTCTTCACAGAGAAGAGTAACTGCTTCAGAGGGAGGTGACTGTATAGCGGGTGATCAGTGGCGTTGAACTTCATCAAGAAGACGAGCTATCCCACTCATCTCTGACCACACACCCCCTCTGTGCCGAGCAGCACAGCCCTGGGAGTTAAGCAACGTCACCTGTAATAATCTCCAAAGGAAGAAAGAAAAGGAGATGGGCTGGTGTCAAACAGTGTATCTCATCCAGGTGCTTGTTTCAAGGCAAAAAATCTGGCAAATAAAACATCTGTAAGCAGCCATTCTCAAAGCGTGTCCTCCCTAGACCCCAAAGGGTGCAGACCCAAGGGACAGCTCCTGGGATAAGGGAGGAAAAACACATGACCGGATCAGTCACTGCGCTGCTAATTACCCAAACAAAGAGAGATTTCTGCAAAGCAACCCGAATTCAAGTTCACACACCCCAAATCTAGCACTCCAAGGGCAGCACACAAGCCTGACCCCTTCCAACAACCAGAAGCTGCTGCCCCAGAGGACTTGAGCTCAGAATAATTCACTCTAATTGGGAAGCAGAGCTGCCACCACCGCTCCCTGGGGGACCTGAGCAGCAGCTGGCACCGCAGCAGGGCTCCAAAGCCGGAGGAAAGGGGCTGCTCCGCACCCTCGGGTGGTGGGTGCTCTGCCGGGCAGAGCTGTGGAAGGAAGGGTGCTTCACCGTTTGGGTCAGGAGGGACCTTTTGAAAGACCACCTGAGCAACTGTCCCACCTGACTGTGAGCTCTGCTGCGCTGGCATTCCAGTTCAGTGCCCCAAGAAGGGGCGATGTGTTTTCTGGCCACTTTTACTGCTTTCGAAACTGACTGGAAGAAGGCTGGTCACCAGGATTCTGCCATGGAGTGACACTGCCATCCCCAGCCATGCAGAGCTTTGCGAAGGGACAGACAGAATGACACCATCTGTCAGGGCCACTGAGGTGCGCATGGAAGAGAAAAAAATCTTCCATCAGGGTCCGTAAAGGGAAGTCACACTCCTGTGGCACACAACTACTGAAGGATGGAAGCAGCAAGTTCACAGGACTTTCATCCATTTAATAATTTCTATACCAACATCTGGAACAGGACCAGGCTTGGTGTCTTGGTTTGACCCGGCTAGCAGCAGCAAAATTCCAGCTCGACAACCGTCCTAGAAGTGAAGCTCCAGCCCATACAGATGTTCGAAGAAAATTCTTGATATTTTGCTGATGTTTCTAAAGAGTTTGAGATCTCAGAAGAAAAATTCACATTTTTTGAGACATTCAACCTGCCACCGTTACTTACTTTACTAACGAAGCGGCTTCAGGAAGCACTTCTGCAAACGTATCACGAAAGACAATCGCGTTTTTTCTCTTGCAGTTCTGTATGACATCATTGGCCAAGTAAAAAAGGTTCAGTCGATGAGGAAAGGCAGCTGAAGACAAAAAGAAAATTCAGATTCATCATCAAGTAGAAGAAGTCATATCAAACACATTTTGTCAACATTTAAGCACCGGCTTTTCGGCGGGGAGTTCACCATTTCCATCAATGATGCGTCCAAGGGCAAGTCCAAAGGTCAAGACTGTGGGCTAGAGAGGAAATCTTGGATTTACAAATCATTTCCAGATCTTCCCAAAACCTGCATGTTCGGTAACAGTAAGCCTTGACTCTCACTTGCGCTTAGAAAGGACACACAAAGCTGTTGACCCCGTGCTATTTCTACAATAGTCACACAGCGAAAGGAACCACACAGCCGGAAAGATCAGCACAGCCCGCCCGTGGTAAGAGGCCAAACACCGAATGGCACAAACTTCTGTAGTGGGGAAAAAAAACCCCAAATTCTCCAAAGTACGTGTCTGGTCCAGCCTCTGAAGCTCCAGCATCACCCTGTTTGTCTACTGACTCAGTGCAATCTCCCGTTTAATGATTTAGAGGCCACTTATTCATATTTTTTAAGAATTATCATGTATAAATCTTCCTTTTTTTTTAAGCTGTAATGGCTTAAAATGGTCTCGAAGATTCGCAGCTTTATCAGGGAGGTCTTACCAGGCACATACCTGTCCACAGCTGTCCAGAGGGCACTCGCCACAGGAACAGACAGACCTTTTCCCCAGCCCTTTAAATGCCTCCTATTCACTAACTGATGTTCATTAATATGTCCAAGAAGAGCTGCTGGTTCCTCAGACGGGGATGTCTGGATGGCCCTTCCCAACACGCAACTCCACGCCAGCTTTTGTGCAGCACACAAAGGACCCCGGATCCCCCAACCCTTCTCCTCCAGAGATCCATTTCTCCAAAAATGCCGCTGAGCCAGCATTGACCTTCTACACCTAGAGCTGTACTCCAAACGCACCTCGGATCTTCCTTACATTCAGCTCCAAATTTAATTATTTCATCAAACCTCTTCTTCACTTGCCCAGTAACAGCACTTGTTGCACAGTAAGCCCATCCACATGCTAATTAGCTTCTTCATTTAATTAAACGGCACAATCTGAGGGTTTAAATATAGGAACACTGACAATAGATGGTTTTGTCTCACGTGCCCGTGAGCTCTATCAGGCTCCCACCTCCCCCGCGTGACACACCCTCCGCCTGTACCCCAGCCGCATCAGTAATCAGAGTTTTGATCTACAAATCCCTTCCTTCTCTACCCGCTTCACTTTCCAGTTGTCCCTCCCCCGGCAGAGCCTCTTCCCGCAGCACAGCTACACCTCGTGACTATCCCGGTCTCCGGATTCCCCGTCGGGAAGCGCTTAGCATCAGCCCTGGTCCAGAGCTTGCTCTTGCTGACACCACTCCTGCAATCCCAACCTGCTACTGAACAACCCCAAACCACCCTCCACAGCCACCTGAATCTCCTCCTGCTCAAAGCCAACCAGAAATCAACCCAAAATTTTCACAAATTCCTTTGAGCCTCAGATGGCACCTAAGGGAAAGGCACATACGTGCTACATGATATTTTCCAGCCATCAATAAGCTCACATGTTTTTACTGGAAACTAATTGTTAAATTTTATCACCTGCCTCTCCTCCAGCGTTCCTCTGGGATTTGGAGAAGAGGGTCAGCAGCCACCGACGGACTTCCAGCAGGGAGTCCATCCAAGTGGGATCACAGCCACACAAACAGGGAGTTGGTTCATTTTTAGTACACCAAATGCAATTATGCAAAAGCCTTCATACAAGGCAGAGAATCCCTGCTCAGGAATGACACAGTGTGTTTGCAGACGGGGAGCTGGGCACCAAATGCCGGTGCTGCGCACAATTCCCGAGCTCCTTCCCATGCTATCACGCACCTTCCCTGCAGCAGGGCTCCAACCTGGACAAGGAATCGGCACCAAGGAAGCAGAGCCGGGTCCAGCACCCTCCTAGCCCAGGAGTCTGGGCGTGCAGGGAGCTTGCTTTAAAAGCTCACACCAGGAACATTTTGACCGTATGAGCTCTACGTTGACCTACCAATATTAAGGGATAATTTAGCAAGTTGTTTGTTCAAAACGAAGATCTTTCACAGAAGGCAGCCTCTTCAGGAGAGCAAAGCTGAGGACACATGGAAAGACTTAGTTTGGTTTGATCATCAAATCCTCAACAGGTTGATGCTGTGAAGCAAAGAGCCTCCAAGAGTCCCTAAAAGCGGCACCAATTCTTCCTGCTCGCTGCCAGCACCCGCTGAGCATCCCTACAGACCAGAGGGCGAGCAAGAACCACCCTGCGATCCCAAACCCCCCAGTGCCCACAGCAGGGACAGCCAGTCCCTGCTCCCCTCCGACGTCCCTGCCACAGAGGCCACGGGGACACACGGCCAAAGGCATGAGACCCGAGCCAGGCGCCGCACAGCTGCTGCCTCCACCAACACCGCAGCCGCCTTCTCACCTGGAACTTTGCTCCTCACATATTTTCCCACTATTTTTTGCTCAAGGTATTTTTCATCATTCCCACTAGGCTACTCCAACGCCACTCCAGCAGCTGCTGTGTCAATGACCCCCAGCTCCCGTGTCCCAGAATAAGCTTTTACAGCCCAAGGATTCATTACCAGAAACTGTTATTTACAACCTTCACCCTGAACGTGCTTACACGGCAGATCGGGATTTGTTTGTTTGAGAAGCAGAGCAAAGAGCCCTCTGCTCTGCCCGGAGGGCTGGAAATCCAACCAGAGTGGGCTTCCTGAAATGATTTGGAGCTAGCTTTCCCCGAAACGCCAGCCTCAATAATCTATCAGATCATCATCCCATCAAAACGGGAATTCTGCGGTTTAACAGAAAGCCAGCACTCCTCTGCTCGTTCACCCGCTGGTCACCGGATGCTCCTTCTGTCCCGGCGATGTTATACACCAGCAGAGAGATCACCGATTTCTGATCTTATGACATAACGCAAAATAGATCCTGAAGATTACATAGAAACCTTTGATTTAAACTCAACATATACACAGCACTCAAATGCAGCAGAAAAACCCAGAGCCAACTTCAAGACAAAAGCCATGAGAGCACAGTTCACACCACCACCTCTGCCACCATTTCCACAAGGCTCAGCCAAGGCAGAATTAATCCAGCTCCGCAATTTAGAGCTCATACTTATAAAACAAGATTCACCCACATTGCACAGTAGGAAAAATCCATGTGAAACCAATACCTAGGCTAGAGACAAGCTGCACAAAGAAAACTGAGTACCTTGGATGCAAAACACACTTTGCACAAGGGGTTTCAACCATGTTATGCTACTGCCCGTATCTGACAGGTGAAAAACTTCTTAATTACTCTTAGACTGTCTTCGCTTAAACCAGAGAGGAAATATAGACCAGAAACAGGAAATTTTATAACTGAGTCCAGCTCTGGACGGCCGCCTGCCCCACCGAGTGACGCTCCGGGCGGCCAGCACTCTGTGTGTCCAACCGAACTTACGTTTACAAGCTGCTCGTGTGGCTGCACTGACAAGACGACCCTCCTGCAAGAAAGCTCTTGATTCACACCAGAAACCTCCCGGAGGTACCGTTATCGCAGCATCACTGAAGCTCTTCGCCAACAACTGCAGCCACGACCGGCCTGCGCTCAGGAGGAGCCGTGACCTGGGAAGGGAGATGCCCACGCCAACAGCAACATATTCAAATACCAGCACATTTTGTTTTTGTTTTTTTTTCCTGAAAGCACCAAATTCTTTATCCAAATAGCCACATCTTCAGTTAAACTGCACATTTCACACCATCTGAAACAAACATCTAACAGCAAAGCACAGAAAAATCCGTCGAGATACACTAAAATGCAGATGCTAGGAAATACCCACAGCAAAATGCAGCCGCTTCCCCTCCACGTGTGCAGGGGGAAAGGCACCGACCATTCCCCTGGGCGGGAGCACACACAAGACCACCTGCGCTTGGGCAAAACCCCTTCACAGCCTGAGGCGGGAGCACCAACTGCCCCACAGGCCAGCCCAGCCCCTCCTTCATCTCATTTAGAGAGGATAAGGAATAAAAAGGCCAATTTTCTTCCCCCACACTTGACATTTTCTGCTGCCCTCAGCCCAACGCCGTCATCGCTGGAGAGATACTGGGCAGGAACTGCCCTGCTCAAGGGTTTCACACTCAACACGGACGCACCCCTCCCAATTAAACACAGGCAGAGAGCCAAGACACAGCCCCGATCCCACCACATCCATCCTTCAAAAGCAGCGCCCTGGAAAAAACAGCTTTTGCATGTTCTTAGAAGCTTTAGAATGAAAATATTTAAAAGCTGGAAAAGGATCCCAAAAGCAAGCTGTACTCGCCACTGACATCTTCTGCTTGGGACCATGACTGCCCGCTGCGTGACAGCACAGGGAGGCGGGGAGGTCCTTGGGGCAGAGAATGAAGCGGACCACAAAAGGAAAAGCAGGTAAAAAAAGCCCCACGAGAGCAGGAAGTAACGAAATAATCAGGGGTCAGGACACAGCAGCGTAACAGCCCCTGTCAGGGGGTGTTCTAGTTGGTACCTTGGATCAGACAGTAAGGGGGAACTTGGGCAAACACGAGGGGTGCTGAGGGCAGACCCTCGGGAGAGCTGCGCAAGGAAGGCCTTGAAGTGCTCGTACCAAACAAAAACAAAAAGTCCAGGCTGGTACCAAGGGCCAGGAGCTGACAGCCCCGCAGCGGATGTGAGCCAATTAAATTACTTTTGATGAGCTTGGGAAGGAGGAAAGGAGTAACGGAGGAGTGCGAGGGAGAAGGAAGGGGCAGCGCCAAAGCAGTGTCTCTGGAAGCTTAGCTGCCTTGGCCAGGAGCTGAAAGATGAATGTCAGCCA